GAATAATTCTATCTTGATTTTTTTTTTATTTTTTATTTTGTTGGGGGTAAATAACGTCGCGAATGAGTTGAAGTATGTAATTCACACAAATCAAGGCAAAAGGGAGTTAGTATTATTGAAAAGGATATTTTACACACTTCCTTCGGAAATGATGCTGCAGCTGCTGGCTGGCGGGTTCCTGAAGGACGGGTCTCCTTTTGGCAAATTTGCAATGCCGCTCGTCACTGCGGCCGTGATATAATCACGTCGGGGTCACCAAAATGATTACGCCGATTCTCAATTTCTCGAGATTGAAATAAGTCTGCCTGCACTTGTTAAACTGTTTATTGTTAACTTTGAAGTTTTACAATTGAAAAGTATATTTATAAAAAAATGGTATTTATGCTGCGGCGACTCAAGGCGCAATGACCCTCTCTCCTCCGCTTCGTACATTACGTTACGTGACGTCACGGTCCGAACAATGCCGATAAGTTATAAATAAATAGGAATATAAGGAATTTATTATATTAAATATAGGAATATAATAAAATAATATTTATAATACTTGATAAATTTCCCATTCACAATGCAACTGCAAGCAGTCGCCCGAATTGCAAAAGGTCGTGGGTTCGAATCCCATCTCTGGGTGCCAGAGACTGAGTATATTTTTTAAGCATTTTTCATCAAGAATACTAAGTACTCGTAAGTTTGTAATTTTAACAATAGATACAATTTTACTAATTCAAATTTTGACTGTTACAAATATGATGTACTTGTCTTCTTATTACTTTTCATTTACTCTTAGTATCTGTTTGTACAAAATCATTCCAAAGCCAGCGATTTCGAAAAAGACGTCATACTGCGATGCGCTCGTAGAATGTGTGACCAAAAAAAATATCTTCCATGCTTCTGAAGGCAAGCGGAAGTCAAGTCGTCTCTTCTGCTTCTGCAATTTTTAACACATACCAATCGTCACTGCGCCCACATAGAGGCCTGTACCCCAGGAATGGGGACACAACTAGTCTAATAATAATGATGCAGGTTTCACAAATCTCAAGTCAATTCCGATTGAATATGTACATTAATTCGATTCTACTTACCTTGTAGCACTTTTCAATTTATTTAAATTAGCCATTTCACGTCTCCTCTTAATTTTCTCTCCGGGCACAATGCGTATTTGTCCCCCTATTCTACTTAATGTGCCAATTTTATAAAAAACAGCGACATTAATTTGCTGGAGCTTTGTAAAGGGTCCTCTTTAACGATTTCTAGGGTCATTTAACTAAAGGCATCGGAGAAAGGGTGAAAAGGGGGGAGACAATAACTAATCAAGTGTAAATGTCCCATGTTTTTATCCAACTACTTAACATAGGGTTCACTGATATGAATATAATTATGAAGGATAGATACGTAGATTTAACTTTATATATAAAAAAATACTAAATAATGAAGGTTAGATATGCAACAATATTAAATAACAATATATTGATTTATAATTCGACCGGTAGATTTCAAAGTTAGGCCTATCGACCTACAGACATGTTACCTTTAAGGTAACAATTTCTTATCACAGCACAGAAAACAGGTTAAAAAGCACAGAAAAAGATTATATTGAAATCATAGAATCTATACAAAATTTATTTTAAAAAGTACAGTGCTTGCAGTATGCAGCAAGTGGTATTTGGATTATTAATAAAAAATAATTTACTAGAATTTATCGAAAAAACAAGGATAAATGTAACGGTGTAACCTGGTCGAAACGTCGGGAAATATAGTTAGGTGAAAAACCTAACTATCAAAATCTAAAAATCTATACAATCTAATATAATGCAACACGAAAGTTAATAAATAGAATAAAGTTAAAAGGCAAAGATATAACGATCACATAAATAAAATAATTAGAACTGTCTTATATAATGATTTTCGCTTCAATTCAATTAAGCTACAGCTGGTCTGTTTTTTACTTCTAGTCCAAAAATCATTGCCATACTTCAACCAATTTACACTAAACCTTCTCCTTAAATCGCTCAGACTATCGGTAATACCCACATGAACAATCTTTTAAGTTAAACGTTATCATACAGACATACGCGACGGAAAAGCTTTGTAGAGACTAGTGTACATGGTATAATTATTAACGCATTTTGCTTCTCAATCAGATCCTTGAATATATAGCATTTTGTTGAACTGGTCTGTGTTTCTTTATTTATTGTAGTGATTTATTTTCTTTATATTATTATTCTAAGAGCAGGTACAATTAAATACTTCTAAGTACTTCCTTCAGTTCGCGTGTCCAAAACGCATAGAACGCATAACATCAATTGCTATCGGGTAAATAATTTGATCCCTTTAAGGTTCCCTTCAAACGGAAACAATTATTTTTTACAACTGCCCATTATGGGAGGGTCTGTGTACTCATATTATTACAAAGGTAATAGACTAAAATAAAGGGGGCGTAATCATTTGATTGACGCTAACAGTTTTATTTGAATTTATCGTTGTATAAAGATAAAGTTATTTATAATAATAGAATATAAAGTTATAGGTAGATAATATAGTTATGGTTTGAAGTTACTATACTACCTGTTATCCCGCGACTTCCTTCTCGTAATGATGTTGCTACCCGGTAGTTTCGGAGCTTATTTAATGCAAACAAACAACCAAATCTTTCCTTATTGTAATATTAGTAGAAAAATCCGGAGACTTGGTCAAGTAAAAGACACTAATAACGGATTTATGTATAATGACTAATACATAAATCTCTATTTTCTCAAGTAGCTCGGTGGCGTAGTGGATAAGCGCCGCGGCCCGCGATCGTTGTCGTTAAGCAACTTTCGCAAAGGTCGGTCACGGGATGGGTGACCAAAAAAATTATTATCTCGAGCTACTCCGTGCTTCGGAAGGCACGTTAAGCCGTTGGTCCCGGCTGCATTTGCAGTCGTCAATACCCTCCAATCCGCATTGGGCCAGCGTGGAGGGTCGTGGCCCATCCTCCTTAACCATCCATAAGGAAGGCCTGAGCCCCTGCAGTGGGGACGTAAAAGGGCTGGTGACTATTTTCTCAAATATAGTCTCTTAAGGACAGAAAACTCAAAAGCACGAATTTTAAACAGATAATAGGGATACTGACTAATCTTTGTTTATTCCCGTCGGATTGATTATTAAATAATATTAATTTATCACATATTTTTTGCCTGATCAATAAATTAAGCGATAAATTCAGTTAAAATGTCGTATGTTTTCACACCTTTGCACATTTAATAAATTCATGCATTTTTTACATTTATTTCCTATAGATCACTTATACCGTGGATTACAAACAAACTTACTTACACTATCGCCAATTTTGCATACAGTGACATTGCAAAAAACCGCAGAGGGTACAAATTTGCTCCTAATTTACTTCTTCTTTTGAAAAAGTTAAATTTCGTGTGCACTTGATGATGTCTGTACCGCCACGGATATTTTAAAACTTTAGCGGTGCAACAAAACATGGACATACTCGTAGGGCTGACACCCGACCCCGTACCCCGGCGGAATAAGCCCGCAGGAACGGTCCACCGTCTGGAAAAAGGCTGTTATTCACCTAAGTCTTTTCCCTCCCGCTGAGGGCGACTTCTATCCTCCCCCTAGAGAAAAGTCTCAGCGCGGATTGAGTCCGAGCCCTCCTTACTAGATACCGGACTCATCCATTCGCGTGAGGTGAACCGCAGCGGGTTTTACCAGGTAGGGCTTCCACTTTAACCTGCCCTTTTAAGGGCGGGGTGGAAGAGAAGCCCCGGTTTAAGGCTTAAGGTGCATTTCCCCTGCGTTAACAAAAAAAAAGTAGTTAGCACGCTCGGTCTGCGGCAAAGTTGTTAAGCATCTTTCGCAATAACCGCTCATAGGATGGGTGACCAAAAATTTTCTATCCTCCTACTTCGGAAGGCACACCAAACCCATTCGCCCTATTCAATTTGATTCCATTCCATCAATAAGAAAAGCCTTACAATAGAAACATTAATAGGCTGGTGATGATGATGTTGTTTAAAAAACAAACATCATCCCACGTTATCCTCCACCATGTCTTTGTTTATTGGATATGACATTAATACAAGTTTATTATATCATACGTGAGTAGTTAACGATAGTAACCGCACTTTTTCCCGGGGCACGTCAATTTTCCACGCGATATCCCCACAATTCGGTACTAATTTAAAAGTTTCCCCTTACAGTCGGACCATTAGTTTCGGTCTGCACTTCCTTCTGTACATACGAGCTAATGTTTGAATTTATTGTGTTTTCTAAACGCTCTTTGTGTGAACAACGATTCTAGAGTTAGTTATAATAGGATTTCGGTTAGTTTTTGTAAAATAAATGGTTATTGGACTTTAATATTAATATATCATAAAGACAAGTATAATCAGAATTTTCTATAATTTTTTTGTATTGAAACAATTATAATATTTATAAATACTACTAGGTACTGTTATTGTACCTACGTCAAATATCTTAGAAATTTTATCACAAATGTATTATTAGTTTTGTTCTTATATAACCAAAATATTACGAGACGAGATATGCATAAAAAACTCAAAACGCGTTTTAGCATTCCGCGTGATCAGTTTTATTATGTAACAATAATTTACAACGTTATCGCTAAAAATTATAAATATAATAAACGATTTTAAACAAATCTTCCAATTAAGTCATATATAAAACTCTTCTAAGATAGTTCATTATTCTAGGAAGTTCAATCTCAGCAAAACAACGCAAATTCAGAAGCGTGTTGTATATATGAACCACTAGCATTATTTTTCACTTTGTTTTCAGCACGCATGTGGTATATTACAAAAGCACATTAAGTAAATGTCAAATTATTACAATCAGTTTTGAGCCCTATAGTCAAAAAATAAGTAATGTTATTGATAAATTTGTAAGTTTCTGTTGGTCAACTATATCCTACTTTCAGGTAGTTCTTCTAACTTTTTCAAGCAAATCAAAGACATGATTAACAAAATACTTTTATAATCAACTAAAACTCAAACGGCCTGTATAAACCCTAGTTTCTTATAAAATATCAACTCCCATCTCTTCAGTTTAGCTATGGGCGCATCGCTGTCCACCTTGCTGCGTCTCTTATACTTCCTGAAGAATTCTGCATCTATTTTTACCCGCTGATCGCAACTATCCCTACTGGCGGTCACTTCTTGTGTCTCGTTCTGAGTCTTTGTAGCCTGAGGTCTGGGGTAAAATAACCACTTTTTGGACCCCAAACCATCACTCTTCAAAATCTCCTGGATACGGTCTTGCCGCTTCTTGGTAGCTAAATATTTAGTCGTATTCTTCTTATGTTTGCTCGCTGAAAAAGAAATATTTAAGAATTAATTAGGCTACGACCGGTTAACTGCTCGTTTTAAACTTGGAGTGCCTTCAAAAGTTTAAATTAGGCTTGAACGCAACGCAAAGAGCTTGAATGGCGAGTCGGTGCCGGTCAGTTATGGCAAATTTACTTGGAGAGTGACTGGTATTGTTGCTAACTTTTCCATTTAATTATGTGTGAAAGAGATTCTGTTAAAGAAAGTTCTTTTACGGCTGAAATTCAAGCAGTTTCTGGTTATTACTGGTTTCTTATTATTGAAATACCTAAAATATGTTAAGAGTTAGTTTTAAAAAAACTTGTAAGATTACATTTGACATTTCAACACGTATTAAAGTGATATGTGCGAAGGTTTTATTCTCAACCGGATTAACGTAGAAAATTCAATTTTGTCGTCATCATCGTCAGCATATTAAAATCCTCACTGATAGCATATACTCTTTCTTTACGGATACTGAATGAAATCGAATAGGGAGAAAGGGCCGTAACTTACAACACAAGCCTAGTGCTGATTGGTAAATAAATATAGAAAGAAAATACATTATACAAGAAACCATTCAGAATACACAAAGATACTACATTTTCATATAGGTACTAAAGACTGTAAATTTAGATGGGACCAAATATCCTTAGATCGGCCACTGCCAAAGTGCCTTAAGCTCTGCATCGCAGATCGAAAGCGCTAACAACTGCGCCATTAATTTTCTGTATCTTATTAATTCTTACTTTCTATTGCTGGTTAATTTCCCTAATATAAACATCATGAGATTAATACAATACTAGATATCTACTGTCTGTTATTGTAGAGTTTGTGTTTGTGTAGATTTTATTGACTAAGAGTCGATTGTAAATGGACAACTAAAACTTTTTTACAGTAATGGCTGGAGCTCCTTTGTATTTTTAAACTTTGTAAACTTGTTAATCCCGGACTTAACTGCAGTATTTAGTATTTCTCAAGCCACTATAAGCTCACCGAGGCGGAGACCGTGCTCCTGAAGTGGGGATATTATTCATCATCATACACTAACTAGCTTTTCCCGTGATATCGCCAGTGTGAGTAGCTCGGTGGCGTAGTGGATAAGCGCCTCGGACCGCGATCGTAGTCGTTAAGCAACTTTCGCAAGGGTCGGTCACGGGATGGGTGACCAAAAAATTATTATCTCAAGCTACTTCGTGCTTCGGAAGGCACGTTAAGCCGTTGGTCCCGGCTGCATTTGCAGTTGTTAATACCCTCCAATCCGCATTGGGCCAGCGTGGAGGGTCATGGCCCATCCTCCTTAACCATCAATAAGGAAGGCCTGAGCCCCTGCAGTGGGGACGTAAAAGGGCTGGTGATATAGTAATAGCCTATGTCTACCGTGTATGATGAAGTTTCCCGTAGATGAAAGAATATATACGAGCGGATCATTATTTCTAATATTTAGAAATATTCCGTTTTTTAAAATTAGTATAGATATCAAAAAATACTCACGCCTTAAATATAGTACTCTGAAGGCGTCCAAAAGACCTGGCTCTCTGTAACTCGTCTCCCGGCGACTACCACCCGACCGCGTACGGGTGCGACTACGACTACGGCTACGACTGCGACTCCGGCTACGAGAACGACTACGGCTCTTGGATCTCGACCGTGATCTCGATTTGGTCCGTGTTTTATTGAGACTTGACGTTCGACTCCGAGAGTGTTTGGACCGAAGATTTCGAGTACGATGCGTAGAACGGCTATGCCTGTAAGAAATAAATGAATAAGCTTTATTCAACAGTATAAATTAAAATAATTTTGCGCATGAATTATGTTTTTTTTATATTGTAAAACCACTATTCTTTATACTATATTTGCATGGAACAATACTCTGTTTGTCAAGTTAAAATAACTAAATTTAATATATGTATAATAAACAAAAAAATAAGAATTCCTAAGTTACTTATATAAAACCACGCGTTTTGTGACCACACAAACTGTGGCCTTATTTATACATTACCTGCAAACTGTAAAATGGCAAATCGCCATTTGGAATAGATCAATAAATAAATAAATGATGTATAATAAACAAAAAGTTCGTCGGTGCTTCGAAAGAAACGTTAAGCTGTTAGTCTCGGGTGCATCTGGGGTCGTTAACACCCACCCATCCGCAGTGGGTCCGCGTGGTGAATCATGGCCCATTTCATCCATAGGTAATGCCTGAGCCCCAGCAATAGGGACACTAATTGGCTTTGATGAATCGTTCATGAAGTTATTGACAGATTATGTGATTGTGTATGTGCAGTACATTCATCATTAACATAATGTAAATAAGGCAAGTATATTTAGTAAAGAGACATTTATAGTCAACATATTAGTCATACTACTAAGTTTATAATACTTTTGTGTTTTTCTTGATAAACAGTAATCATAATACATACTGTTAAAAAAAATGTAAACCTCCATGTTTGTTTAAGCACTTCCAATAACAACCCATCAACACAAAACACAAATGATATTAATAGAAAGTAGGTTATGACTCTATTAATACCTATTATTATTTATTTGTATATTTATAAAACATTCACATGATACCTTCTGTTGCTACCTCGCTCCTCGTTTAACGAAGACAGACCGTAATAATCCCCATAACCATCCCCATGATCGGGATAGTCCCCTTCAGGGGGTCGCATAGGCGGGAACGGATGGGCATAAGGATAACCATAGCTTTCCATCGATTGAAAAGTTCATAAAATTATTTTTAGCTTCGTCTTGTAATCACTGTCAAATTTTGTACTTGTTTTATTTTTCTTGAAATGTCAAAACATGTCAAAATTGTTTCTAAGCAGATCACATGTGATATTTGTGGTACATTAATAGTTATTGCATCTTCGAAGCCCGTGTGGAAGTTTGTTTACTCTATGTGACCTCTGAAGTGGAATGGCTTGCATGTAGGTTTAGGAGATCTTTTTTTATCAATTTTTAAGGACTTTTATCTTTAAGATATGACAGTTAATTAGGAGATCTTCTAATTTCATCTATTATATTACCAACCGAGGCAATCACAAAAAAAATTGTAAGCTTGGAATATGAAAATTACTATTATATTATACATATGTATATTGTGAAAGATATGGTTTGATTCCTATTTCGGGCACCCCCTGCTATTCTGTGAAAATCCAGACCCAAATTCGTGTGCCTGAATTAACGTTATTTAGTGAAAAAATTCTATTAATTCCATTTTTTGTATAAAAATACAAAACAAATTGATTGATTATATATGTGTCTCAGATATTCCATTCCTATGTCATTTCGAAAGTCACTTCACTTGTCCCACGAAACATTATTACCGATTCAAGATTTAGCTGATACCGCTTTATGAACTGAATTCAGACACATGAGTGAATTCGAATTCGAGTTAGGATTTTTACAGAATCTCAGGGCTGGAAATGTTTTACTGCCTTTTTCTTTAAGATGAAAATTATAAAGTGAAATGTCCGCAAAGAAATATTGACTAGCAACTACATATAGCTATAAAATGTAAGTAAAATAAAGAAAAAAAACGCCACATTCTTCATTATGTATGAATAATACCCATGGAAAAAAGGGCTGTATACCTATATTATAATAAAATATGAAACTCATAGCGTTGCTCTCCTAAACTTAACAATACGTATAAATCATAACGGCAATAATAAACCGAGATTTACGATACTTTCCAGTTGATAAGAATCCAAAGTAAAAAGTAGATTGACTTACCGATTGGGAAGAAAGAACAATTAAGAAGCGGGATGAATTGGGAATCGATGAATGCCTAATGGTGGGAACCATTAGAGGGTTTCGAGTTTGCGGAGAGCTTTTTTAAAGAGAAAAAAATTTAACTACTCTCTGTGGAAGTTTGAGAAAGGCGCGCTAAGTTAAAGAGAATAGAAGTGGCACTGCTATTATATAAATTGAAGCTGAATTTAAAATTGAAAAAAAAAAAAAGTTTCTATATTTTTTGTGTATGTCACGATTTCTCGGTGAAGTGTAGACTGTGATTATCAAAATCATGTTTTATTTTATTTGATAGCTTATGGGCCGGAGATGGTGATATTAAAAAATCTATCCTATTAATATTATAAATGCGAAAGTTTGTGTGGATTAATAATTTAGTTGTTTTACATCATATACGTAGAATAAAAATAGCTCCCCTTTGTTTGTATTACACATCGTATTTTACAGGGACATTGATTGAAAGAACATTTTTTGTTCGTAATAAATTTCTTTCACCAAAAGCGATATTTTGAAGTTACTATCGTTATAAGTCTTAGTACCTCCATATAATCTAACTCTTTGGCGTAAGCTGAAAACTGTTCCAACTTCGCATCGAGCACAGCGGTGTATTCTTAACTCACTTTTTTAATAGTCTGCAACTTTTCAGCTCATTTAGATTTTCTGTTTCGTGTACGTACACTCGCATTTTTGGAAAATTCACTTTAAATTATGTATTGACAAATGTTAAAATTAAGCTCAAAAATAATTGATAGGAACAATTGTTTGTGTTAAGTCGAGCGGCTGAGGCGACATTTTAACTAATGTGAACGGAATCGAAGTATAATTTACGGGTGCGTTGTCGCGGTTAATCAATTATTATCCTATTAATATTATAAATGTGAAAGTTTCTTTGTTTGGATGTTTGGATGTTTGTCCGTCAATCATGCCGAAACTACTGAATGGATTTTGATGAAATTTGGTATACATATAGGGTATTAGCTGACTGAGATAATAGGATACTTTTTATCCCACTCAACATTTCCCTACGGTTCAACTGGGCGAAGCCGCTGGTAAAAGCTAGTCTAATATAAATACGAATAAAAGGTACAAATCTAACAACAACACGTTAAAATAATATCAATTTTCAAAACTTTGTCATAAAAGTAAAACATAAAATTTATCTAGGTATGTGATCCGAATGAAAACACGAATCTCACTAATTAACTGAAAATGTAACCTGTCAACGTTTGCCCACTTCAAATTAAACTAACGGAGTCACAGCGTATACTGAACGCCAATAAAAATATAACTTTACAACCCTACCATTTAAGTTTAATTTCCTATGTGAAAAAATATTGTTCAATATAAATATGTTTCGGTAAACTGTTCCCTAAGTGCTGCAGCTTTCACGTGCACACGAGATGTTTAATTCTCTCTTTTACTTTGCGTTCGCTTAATTTTAGTTACGTTATAATTAATTTCGTTTGCAATGAAATTATTTCACATAGTAAAAAAAATGTAAAACTTTCTACAGGTAATTACATTTAAATTGGAATTAAGACTAAAATTGACATTGTCATTGAAAAACTATTCATAGATCAATCTAAAAATCATTTTTATATGTTACGGTACAGTCTTTTATAACTTTATATCTAACGAATATCACTGATACTAAACAGGGTATGTTGTTTTTCTTTCCACAAAAATGGATGGCATGGTTCCTAAGAACATATAGGTAATGTGATACTTTCGTTATTTCATATTTACATAATACGAAGCTCACATAGTTTTATTTAGTTCACTTTAGCATGGAAGTGTAAAGTTTAAAATAAATTGAATAACGAGTACCAAATGCCATTCGTTTTATATATTGATTATTATGACTAGCTATCCAATAGCGGCTTCATCCGCGTGGTCCGTTATTACACTGTTACGAAGCGCAGCGGCGCGGTTCGTCTACATATTACTAGATAGCGTTATGCACCAACAAATAGCGCTAACACTGATGAAACTACCTGTGTCGTAGGGGTATACTGAGAGTCGTCGAGGTAGCTTCTAGAACTTTTTGGAAATGCCTCTAATGCACCGGCAGGGCCGAAGCCAACCTAAAGTGTTCTAGGTTCTAACCTAGAACATTCTAGATGTGGTGTCGGCCCTTATATATACTTGGTGGACTAGTCAGTACAGTAGTCCACCATGTATGTATTTATAGAGGCTAGTAGCTAAGTAGGGATGTGACTTCATTGGGTAAAAATCGATTTATATATTAATCGATTATTTTCTATTAATGTCTAAAAAAAACGTATTTTTTTTTTAATTTAAAAAAACATATTAATTATTTGAAGCTACTACCGTTATCTTTATTTGTTCAGCATAACAAAAATTCACTAAATCAACAGAAAAAATTTACTTCCTTCAAATATAGTAATAACTTTAAAAAAAGAAAAATAATACTTATCTTAAAAGCTCTTTATTCAAGAAAATGCTATTAAAAGTCGAGCGCCTATCATTTAATGAATAACCTACAGAAGACCGCTGTCTGACTTAATTTAATGCTTCTTAATGATACTAAAATATTTTCTATAGGTAACAGTAAAAATATGAAATATATATTTAAATATTTAACATAGCGAAAGTCTTGGAAAGGAAGATTTTGTTTATTTGCTCGACATTATATTATAAATAGGAAAGATTTGATTGCTTGTTTGTTTGCATTGGATAGACTTCGAAACTATTGCAGCGATTTATGAAAGTCTTTCATTTATGTGAAGCTACTTAATACGTGTTAGACATAGGCTATAATTTACGTAGGCGAAGGGAACAACCAGTTTGATAGAAATCGGTTAACAATTCAAGAAGATATCGATTAGCATGTCTACTTTCATAAAAAATATACTTAGTTCTGAAACATAAAAAATCACCTTTTGGATTTTAAATGAATTCTAAATACACAATCTTTTGTTTTTTAACTGAAATGGGCTATGCCTTACCATAGCAACAAAATAATTAGGTACTATTTGGTGAAAATCGTATTTAATTTTGTTATAAAAGCAAAACTACTGATTCTTTGGGAGAATATTTACACTTCGCAGTTGTGCCATTGTTTTTATCAAAAAAATAGGCCCTCCAAACGCTTTTTGGTCATATAGGTTGTCATTTTTTATGTAAAATACCTTAAGCAATAAATATATTTTATAAATCAAATGGTATGTTTGCTAGGCTAGATGGCGTTGCAAGTAATTCTATTACAAAACTACTGTTAAAATATTAAAAGTACGAAATAATATATGAACTAATTCATAGTTAAATATTAAAAGCGTAAATAAAAAAGTTAAATATTAAATATTAATTAAAAGCGACTATTAAAAAAATCTAAAGTATAGTCTGAAATAACGAAATTTAAAATCAATTGTTTTATAAAATAACTAGCTGCGACTATTTAAAAAAATCTTAAGTATAGTCTGAAATAACGAAATTTAAAATCTATTTTTTTATAAAATAACCGATTATTTTATTTTGACATCCTTATAGACTACCCGTCTCGGCATTCTTCAGTGACCGCGATCGTAAGCGATAACTAGTGTGGTGAATGAAATAGTGAAGTTAGTGTGTACGAGTATTTTTTGTTAGAGTTATTTTTGTGATTTTGTTTATTAAATAAAGTCGGATTGTGAACTTAATTGGCGTTACCTTTTATCTCGAACCCGAAGTCGTAACAAAACATATAAAACTTCCTCCTGTTGACTCTGTATATTTATTGATGCAAAATGAATGCCTAAAAAAAGAACGGATCTACCGTTCTTTTTTGTAGGTCAAAAGATCTCAACCTCAATCTCACAGACCGAAAATCAATATGTTTTGTACTATGTATAGACTGTCAATTTTATTTCGTAAAGAAAATAATAAGGACTGCTATGTTACTTATTCTCTCTACACATACTACAAGAGATATAATGAAAGATAAAAAGTAATTTTATTG